AATGCATGGGCTTCCCTGGTGGCTAAGCTGGTAAAGAATCTGCCTGCAACGCAGAAGACCCTGGTTTGATTCCCGGGTCGGGAGGATCCCCTGGAGAAGGGATAGGCTACCCACTCCAGTATTTTGGCCTGGAGAATTCCATGGACTGTATAGTCCAGGGGGTCGCAAAGAGTCAGACATGACTGAGTGACTTTCACTTCACCTAACGCATAGAGAATTACTTAAAAATGATTGGATGCATGAATGTTGTTGATTATACAGATGAGGAAACAAAAGACTCTTGAAGATCACATGGTAAGAAGTGGAATTGGAGGCCACAGTCTGGCTAGACGCCAAGGCAGGTGCCCTTTTTCCCATGACAAACTTGATGCCCCTAGGTCAGTGACTTTCCTCATTTCCTGCCTGTTTCTGGGTTGCAAATCACTTCCTTTCCTGGGTAACAGAGAAGTGGTGAGCGGTGTCTTAATAGAGCCGACATCTATGAATGCCATCAAGCCCTATCTGAGGCTGCCTTTTAACCTGGATCCACCACCTTCAAGGTACTGAGATATATTCCAGGTTGTGCTATAGATCAGACACAGATAACCCGCAGGCCTGTAAACAGAGGCACCAAGCCAAAGCCTGTGACCATAATCCTTCAAACAGCTGATTGTGTTCACCTCGTGTGAAACCTCCTCACACTTGATGTGGCTGAAAACTGAGTGAGCCCCTGTGTCTGCGGTGGAAGACACTGCGGAGGAAGATCTTCAATTACAAACCAAAATGCAAGGTATTAACAGGAAAGCTTTAACACCTACCGTCACACTTGGAGTTACAGGGTGTTAATGAGCAAGATAACCAAGGAAGGCATTTTTTTTTTTCCTCCTGGGCTGCCTGGGTTCGCTGTGTGTGTAGAATAATTGAAACCTCAGGATGTGAAACCATGAATCAGGAGAGTTTCCTGTATTATGAATGATGTCATCTAATAAGATGAGAGACTTTCAGTGAAATGCAGGAACACTGAGGGTAATGTGTTTGCAGCAAGCAGGATCCTGAATTTATTGCAGAGGGGAGTGTGAGAGTTGACCAAAATGGAGAATGATGAGAAGTAACTAAATTATGTATGACAGTCTTTACGGAGCAGAGGAAGGAAGAAAGCTTAATGATGTTGTGGTTGAAAGACCAGTGCAATGGGTGATGTATAGGTTGGAGGTTGGTAAGAAGAGAAATGGATCTATGAAGACTCAAAGACTATCGATGAGGGTGACAGAGAGCAAGCAGTGGATTTGGGAGAGGGGAGGAGAACCAGGGGCTCAGCATATAACATATTTTAGTGGCAACAAGACAGCCGAGTAAAGTTAACTTGACATTAAAAATCATCATCTTAATCTATGGAGCTATTTCCAGCCTGAGTCTTATACCAAAAAAAAAAATCTATAGTTAATGATGAAGTATTTTCCCCCTTTGCTTTCCCGGCATTCACTGAACACAGTACATAATTTAATTATTGAATCTACAGGCTGGACCATGGAGATGAAGAATGATGTGTCTGCTGTAGTGAGAAATTAGATAGAACCAACTGTTTATTCTCATCATTCTTCCTCTGTGAGGCTAAATTAATATAGTTAACACGCTTTTGTTTGGATTAGAGGCTCAGATCTAGTAGGTGCTGATCAGAACTCATGATTACTACACTAGCTGTTATTTATGGAGTGCTGACAGTATCCTCAAGCCCCATATGTGAGACAGAAACGGGTTCTTTTGTCCTTCTCTGCAGTGGAACCAGTGTTCCACCAGACTTAGGGGCTAGATGTCTGAACAGAATACCAAAGTTAAAATCAGATTTAGTTCCTTGGAGCATATGACTTCAGAAATGTCACCCAAGGGCTTTCCTATTGACCTGTACTGTGTGTTGCTGATCTTTTTAACAATTGTAACAAAATACGCACAATTTTATAGCCAGCAAACCTTATGGGGACTAGCAGGAGGGGGTGTGGACAGGGCTGGGGCCCGTAAAGGGGTAGTTCAGCACTCGTGTCAGGCCCTTCCACACAATTTGAGTAGGAACTGGAAGCTGGCCAAGCAAAGCGCCTATGCAAATACAGCTTCGAGGCATTTGTGCCTCGAGGCAGTTTCTGTGCGCTGCCTCAGACGAACCCTTCTGTTACGGCGACACCGCAGGCCCACTCCAGAGGCCAAAACCAGTTCTTTCTTCCTACCCCGTTCGGTTTGATTGCTATAGACTTTTTCGGGTCTTTTACAGCGAGATCTTTAAGTAGCTGATGGTAGATCCAAGCGGTGGTGGTGGGGAAACACCCCAAACCTGCACATCAACAACAAAAACTAGCCTCAGATCCAGAGATCCGAAAAAAAGCAGGGGTTATCTTGAAGTCGGAGCCCGCTGGGGAGCAGCTGCCGGCGGTCCCTCGGGAGGACCCAGGGCGGCGGGGCGACTGCGCAGGTCGCCGCCAGCCGACCAAAGTCACGGCGCACCCCAAACCACACCCCCCACAACAAAGCGGGCACAGCGGCCCCGGGAGGAGTCGTTCCCGCGCCGGGCCCGGAGGCCGCCGGCCGGACCTTCGAGTGGGCTGGCCGGGCTCCCAGCGCGGCGGGACGCGGAGGCGCCCGCGACCCCACCCGGGACCCCTCCCCGGCCGCGCGCCCGCCCGGGCCTCCGCCGCCTTCCGGCCGCGCGGCGGGCCCGCCCCCTCGGCCGACTTCCTCCCCGGGCGCGCGGCAGGGCGGCGGCGGCGGCGGCGGCGGCGGCGGCGGCGGCGGCGGCGGCGGCGGGACGGCGGGGACGGGCGCTGGCCTGCAGGTTGCGGGCCGGGCCGGAGGGGGCGCGGAGGCGGCGGTGCGGGCCACGTGGCGCGGCCGGGGCGCGCGGAGCACCGGGGACGCCCCCTCCCGGTTACACCTGCTGCCGGGGGAACGCCCGCCGGGTCGGTGGCGGTCGGTGCTTTTCGCGGCGGCCCCCGCGGCCTCCGAGACGTCTTCTCCCCGCCGCGGGAGCCGAGGGCGCGCGCTGGGGCCCCGGGGGCGGGGGCTCTGGAAGTCACTTCCAGCGGCCACGTGTGCGGCGGGGCGGCGGGCTCCGGCCCGGGACCGGGGCGGGAGGAGGCCGGGTTGTGACTCTGCCGGTTGACCAGGGACATCTCCCCGGACCTGGGGTCTTCCTGTGCTTCTGCACCGGCGGCGAGCGGTAAACCAAACCGGGTAGTAAGTTCCCCTGTCCTTCCCGTCTTTGCTTTCCTGTTTGGCAAGCACTCATCTTGGGGTCCCCGCAGCGAGTTTGGATGCTAACCCTTAAACTTTGAATGAACCAGTTCGGGGACGTCCCCGGTGGCTCAATGGTAAAGCCGGAGACACGGGTTCGATCCCTGGGTGGGGAAGATCCCCTGGAGAAGGAAATGGCAACCCGCTCCAGTGTTCTTGCCTGGGAAACCCCATGGACAGAGGAGCCTGGAGCCCTGCAGCCCGCGAGGTCGCAAAGAGTCGGAGGTGACCGAGTGCCTAGCGACTGCTGCTGCTATTGCTGAGTCGTTTCAGTCGTGTCCGACTTTGTGCGACTCCGTAGACGGCAGCCCACCAGGCTCCTCTGTCCCTGGGATTCTCCAGGCAAGAATACTGGAGTGGGTTGCCATTTCCTTCTCCAATGCATGCTAAGTCCTTTCAGTCATGTCCGACTCTGTGGGACCCCATAGACAGCAGTCCACCAGGCTCCTCTGTCCACCCAGTTCTTTAGGCAAGAGTACTGGAGTGGGTTGCCATTTCCTTCTCCAGACTAGCGACTAAACAACAATCAGATGGTTCCCAGTGGATGGTACTCAGGCACCCTCTGGTGCTTCTCCTAGCTGTAAGCATCACAGCTGGATCCCAAGCGGAGCTGTTGGGAAATTCTCACCTTTCTTAAGCCCAGATGTCTAGGCTTTCTCCAGATTCACTGAGAGTTGGGTCCTATGTTGCTCTGCTTCTTTGCTTTTGTTTCCCCTCCCTTGAAAGGGCCCCTCTCCCTTACTGGCAGTTTTAGCCCACTTCAGGGGCCCCGTCTCCGTTGTGGAGACAGTTCCTTCTCCTGAGTGTAGCCCAATGTTACTGAAATCTTGCCATAGTCATAGCAAGAGTCTAAATAGTTTCTCTTCGTTTGAGTCACTACTCAGGGTGGATAATTTCTGTCCCAGCTGGGGAAACTAAGGGAAAGGAAAGACACATGAATATCACAGCTAGGATGGAGTCATATGGAATCCTTCTGGCGTGGATAGTAATCCCACCTGGTTTAGGGCGAGATACCTAAGTTCTCTGAGTCTCTGTAAGAGGGGTGTGAGTTACCTTAACTCAGAAGGAGGCTTCACTGAGTTGATATGTACAAGCTTTAAGAGTATCTGAAATAGATTAGGGTAGATCAGGCTTCCCGAGTGGCCCTCTTGATAAGAAATGTGCCTGCCAATGCAGGAGACATAAGAGACACGGGTTCGATCCCTGGGTTGGGAAGATCCCCGGGAGAAGGAAATGATAACCCACTGGTGTTCTTGCCTAGAGAATCCCCATGGACAGAGGAGCCTGGCGGGTTACAGTCCATAGAGTCATAAAGAGTCGGACACAACTGGAGCGACTTAGCATGCACACAGGGTAGATTAGATGGTCAAAAAATGTTCTTTTCCCCTGACCTGCTGTGCTGATGTCATTTGATAAAGGAGAGAGGTGAAAGTGAGAATGATTCATAGGTCAGGCATGTGTAGTAACTTGCAAAAAAAAAAAATCCTATGAGAAATTAGTAAATGGGTATAATATCTGGGAAGGTGCAGCCACACAGGCAAACTTTTGATAACTTAATTTTTTTTTTCTTAAGACCACAGAATATCCAGGGTTAATGTGCTGTGATGTCTGATTGATAAATGTCAATTGAAATTGTTTTGAGTTTGGAGAGCCAAAGCTGACATGTGCTTGGGTCGAATTGGAAAGCAGATTGACCAAAATGTGTTTGTCGACTGCTGTTTTGTTGTGTGTTTGCCTTCTAGACCCAGCATGAGCGAAGTTCCCTGCAGAAAACGTGATGACTATCTTGAATGGCCTGAGTATTTCATGGCGGTGGCCTTCTTATCAGCACAGAGGAGCAAAGATCCAAATTCCCAGGTAAGCGAGTACTGCAGGAGAATGTTTGGACACTGGCAGACACGGAGATGCCCACAAGTGAGCAGATTACAAAAGGAAGAGGCTCCGTGGACCCCTGCCAACTTAGAAAAGCAGAGTCAATCTGCTGTCTTTTGCACAGCATTCCTGCCTGCTCACATTTTCCTGTGAGAGAGTAAATTTCCAGTGACACCCCTGTTCACTGTCTCTCGTACCGCAAGGAGACAGAGCTCTCGGCCCCTCCAGAGGCGGCCTGCCCATTCTGGGGCTCTGCGGACCTCTGGTCTCATTGGCTGCCTCTGCAGTGGCAGACGGGCCCCTCGAAGTCATCAAGCCTTTGGGCGTGTTTCCCCGCAGGTCGGTGCCTGCATCGTGAATGCAGAAAACAAAATCGTGGGCATCGGGTACAACGGGATGCCAAATGGATGCAGCGATGACCTCCTGCCTTGGAGGAGGACAGCGGAGAGCATCCTGGATACCAAGTACCCTTACGGTAGGGCGCGTTGTGTGGTCTGTCCTGCTCGTGTGGCATGGCCTCAGTGAGGGCTTACATACCATGGGCGGTCAGAAAGCATTGTCTTCCTTTCCAGTTAAGAAAATAAGTCCTGTTGAACTAGCCCAGCTTCCCACCCCCTTCCTTTAAATTCCAAAGAGAGCCAAGGAGTGGCGGCATGGCAGTGGCTGGGCTGGGCAACGCTGCCGATGGCGGGCTTCTCTGCAGAGGGCCGCAGCCCTGGGGGCGGCGACTGTGAAGTGGGCACGGTGGCCCCTGCCTTTTGTGTCTTGGCAACTCATGAACAGAGCCAGTTAACCAAGCACCAGCCTGGGCTTCGCTCTGATGAGGAGCAGCGTGTATTTCCACCTAGCGAGGACCTCTGGCTCAGGCTCTGGGAAGCAGGACGCAGGCTGTGAGCTGGGCATTGGTCGAGGGATGACACGGTCACCTTCTTCTGTTTTCTGGGGCGCTGCACTGCCAGGGTAGACGGGGGTCAGACCACAAGCCAGATACCTGGAGCCGACCCTGGGCCTGGCTGTCTCTGGTTTTTATCGTTAAATTAGGGAAGGATGCTTGTGGCCCATCTAAGCCCCAGGGAGACTCCTTTCAGAGATAAGCTGGGAGGGCCCAGCAAGCCTCCTTTTTTCCCTTGAATTCCCTAGAGAATATGCAGCTAATGCTGGGAAGAGGCGCCTTGGGCTTCATATGTTGCTGGATTTCTTTTAAGGCGTGGCTCTGTGTTTATGAACAGACCGCCTCTGCTGGGAGTCACGTAGATGGGGGCCACCCGAACGGGAAAGATGTGCTTGCAGGAAACGAGGGCAGGCAGGCAGTGAGCTCAGGTGTGATGTGAGCCCTTGCATTTAAAGTTGGCTCTTGCCTTGTGAGGTTTTCCTCTGGAGTTTTTCCTCACAAAGAGCTCCAAGTCTCCGTTTGGCCGAATTTACATATTTTTTACTAATGTTCCTGGACCTTAATCATGTTAAATAAGCCCCGTAACTTTCGTCTAATCTGCTTCAGGGCAGTAACTTTGTCTTTGACAGAAAAAGAAGAAAAACATGCCCGGAGGTGGAGAAGGAATTGAGGAATGAGACTGGGGAGAACTACGGAGCATTCTGGGTTCTCAGGGAATCAGACAGTTTGGTACTGCAGGGGGTTTCATAGTCGGGGCTAGTCCATTTCACACCCCATCCAGGAGGAGTAGAAAGGGCAGGATCCCGGGAAAAGAGGGTGTTTTAGAAACTTTTGGTCTTCTTGCTTTTGATTCTGTGTGCTTTCAGTAAGAAAGAAGGGAAATGGTTCGTTGCTTGTAGGCACATGTGAAGGCGATTTCTCACGGGACAGTCCAAGGTCCCATATAAAGACCACAGAAATGAGTCAGTGAATTCAGAGTCGGCACTGAAGGGTGTGAGTACCCCAGCCCTTATTCACGGAGTCAGGACAGTGGGCTGTGGGTCCTGGTGCTGAATTCCCGATAGAGGGGTTCTTGGGAGGCGTCTGGTGCTGAGACTGGTTACACCAAGAGATGCCAGTGGTCGCAGGGGTGTAGAGGGATCCTCGTGGGTTACTGACTCAGTTACTCAGCTTCCTCACAGTAAGCTCAGTTACTTCCTAAAATGCAGATTCTTTTTTTCCATTTTATGACTTAAAAAATTAATGACAAAGTAAGTGACAATATCTGGAATTGTGTGGGCTTGACCTGGTGGACGGACTGCTATTTCAGGACGGATAGACGATGTGTCCATCCCTATAAAGGAGCTGTAGAGATGATCTACAGTGATTCTAGACCACTGATTTCCTAGTTCTTCTGATTATGTAGTGAAGGACAGAGGACCCTGGCATGCTGCAGCTGATGGGGTCATAAAGAGTCAGACACGACTCAGCAACTGAACAACAACTGATTATATGGGACCCGCTTTTAAAAAATGTCAAAAGAACTTCCAGGGCCCCCATATAATGCTAGTTAAACTATGAGTAACCTCATGGGTTGTCCCAGTGGAACCTGTGCCTCGTTCAATCACCCGGAGCTCCAGGCACATTTCTGGCAGTGACCTAGAAAGCCCGAGGCTTTGCAACACACTTACCGCCCCCCTGCCCCCTACTCCCCACTTCCAGAACCTCTCCAGTAGCTGATTGTGTTTGTTCTGAGACACTTGCCTTTTGTCCAAGTTCAGAGCTCCTTTCCAGAAGGAATTGGAAAGAAAGAGAACACATACAGGCATTTGTCCAGCTTCTCCGATTGCTTTTTATTGAATGATTGCTGAGTTGAAACTCCGCACCGGTTGTCTGTCTGCATTATTTTTTACTATTCATATGATACCTCTAGGTTTTCAAAGCTCTTTGCCCTTAACTTATCAATTATTCATTTTTACATGGAGCTGTGTTAGAATGTAGACCATTTTCTTTCAGGAGAGCGAGCTTGTAATTTGATGTACCATAAAAGTTGGAGAAGGTATTAAATGGTTTTTAAGAAGCATTTAGTATTACTACCATCATAATACAGGCGGAGATGGGCTTTAAGTCTAAGTAACTATGATTGGCTGGAAACCGTACACTCAGTTCCCGTCTTTTTAAGGGTTTTCAGGCCACAGAGAAGTAAATGTTTAGGTAGCCTTGGATGTAATAGAAATGTTTGGTGATAATTGACTAAACTGCAGATTCTTTTTTTCCATTTTATGACTTTAAAAAATTAATGACAAAATAAATGACAACGTCTGAAATTGCGTGGGCTTAACCTGGTTGATGGACTGCTATTTCAGGACGGATAGACGATGTGTCCATCCCCATAAAGGAGCTGTAGAGATGATCTAGATTCTAGACCACTGATTTCCTAGTTCTTCTGATTATGTAGTGAAGGACAGAGGAGCCTGGCATGCTGCAGTCCACAGGGTCACAAAGAGTCAGACCGACTCAGCAATTGAACAACAACTGATTATAGGGGACCTGCATTTAAATGTCAAAAGAACTTCCAGGACCGCTATATAATTCTGGTTAAACTTTTAGTATCTTTTTTAAAAAGTCGAGGTATAATTGACATACACACTTACATTAGTTGCAAGTATATGACATGATGATTCATACATACCAATATTTGATAATGTTTACAGAAAATTATTTTTTCTTATGATGAGGACTTCTCTTAGCAACTTTCAGTTGTGTGGTCCAGTAGCATTAACTGCAGTCACCATGCTGTACATCACAGTCTCAGGACTTATTTTATAAATGAAAGTTTGTACCTTTGACCCCCTTTGCCTGTTTCTCTGCCCCACTCCTGTCTCTGGCAACCATCCCATCTGTTCTGTGTACCTGTGACCTTGTTTTTATTTTTTCGATTCCATATATAAGTGAGGTCATACTTTTTAGTAGTATCTTTTGAGTCAGAAAATCCATGATGACAAAGAGTTGTTTATCAGTAACACTTTGCATTAACCTGAACTTTATTGAACAGCATTTGTACATGTTTGGAAAAAGTGTAGGTAAGTGCTGGATGTCTGTTTGCCAGTCTGTGGTCCTGTACCCCTGGGAGAACCTCACTGGTGCCTTGGGGTTCATGCCCACAGGGTCTAAGCTGCCCACATCATTCATGGTTAGGAACCTGAAGGCCCAGAGATGCTAAGTAATACAGTGACGAACAGGTGGGTGACATCATCTGATTCTGGGCTGGCGCTCTGCTTCCTGTAGGGAGGCACGGGAGCTCAGCTTTGCTGAAACGGGTGGATCGCTGCACAGTGGGCCTCCCATTTTTGTCTTCTCACCATGTACTTGAACAAATAGAGATTTCCATGAAACGACCAGCCAGAGGTGGGATGCTCAGGTGGTGGTGGCCTGTACCTAGGACAGGGTAGAAAGTCATGTACACCTGGCCTGCCTTCACAGTGCTCCAGAGGGGAGCTTGGGAATTGTGTAAGTTTGAGTTTACCAGTAAATTATACAACTTAATAATTCTTCTTATTATTGCTGTAAATTTGGAAGTCACTCGTCTTGACTGACACTTTGTGGACAGGAGGTAAGCACAGAATACATGTGTCAGAATAGGAAGATGGGGCTTCTTCTGGGCCAGGTCTCTGGAGAGGCATTTTTAAAGGGTGTTTCTGTTCTTCTGCGCTTAGGATCAAAACTTCAGGAAATGATTTGATGATAATGTAGTATTAATATGGAAAATGAAAATTCCCCCTGCCAAGGAAACTGCCTTTTATCTCATCTCTTTCCCGAAAAATCCAAAAGATAGTATGATGTCAGTTAACAGTGTTAGGAAGAAATCAGCATTATTATAGTGACACCTTTTCACATGAATGACAATGAAAAAAAAAAAAACCCAGGAAGGAGCAGATTTATTTAATTTACCAGGTAAAAACCTTTTGGAGGCTTTGATTTTCATGAGGGGGTGGTTGCTAACCCCAGGATGAAGAATTCAGCTGACATTTTCCATTCGTTTCTCTTTGTGGAATTCATCAGAGTGAAGCCCATTTAATCAAAATACCAATTTTATAAAATGGAGGTGAAATACTCGTGGTAATGCAGAGATCGCTCTTTCTGTGGGTTTTCATAAGCGATTTTGATGACATGGTTTACAGAGCGAGTGTTGGCGTGAAATCAGCTTCTTTCTTTCTCAGGAGCCGTTGTTAAACTTCATGTTTGTAAAGGAGCTCCCCGTGCATATCAAGCTTGCCTGGGGTTTCCTGCCATGCTGGTTCCCACTGAAGGAGGGATTCATGGGGAAGCACATGTCTTTGCTTGGCCTTCTCTTCCATCCCGGTCAATCATGAAGCCAGGATTGCTTTCCCTGTTGCTTTGCCCTTTTCATCATGGAAGGGACCATAGTCTTTTTTTTGGGGGGGCGGGGACCATAGTCTTGATGTCCCAAGAGGGTGGTAGCCCTTTTCTCTGATGCATCGGCTAAACATGGCGATGTGGGGCTTTTTCCAGAGTCAGGTCATATTTCTGCAGAAAAACTCTAAAAAGGATATAATGCTGAGAAGGAAAGTGCTGGAATTAAT